GCAGTCAGTCGTGGTTCTGCTCCTGCTGTTGCTGACACTGCAGCGCAGCTGCAGTTGCTGCTCCATGATTGATGATGCACATGTAAAGCTGTGACTGCCTTTCGGGCTAACACGACCGTTCTGCCCACTCTCACAGCTGTCGTTCATTGGAGCTGTTTGGAGCTCTGCAGCTGCCGCGCCTTTTTCTCGTGTTGCCGCATGAACCATTTTTGCCTTTGCCGCTATTTACTTTTCTTTGTGATGGGCGTTTTATCCTGCTTCATGAGGTAGGAAAGGCTTACACGCACCGGGGGTCGCTCTGAGTGTGAGCCTTCGTTTCTGCTGCTTCCTGCAGAGCTGAGAGCAGCAGGAGGTTGGGTTCGCGACAAGTTGTTGGGTTTTCCTTCCACTGATATAGACATTGCCATTGACACCACCTCGGGAGCTCGTTTTGCTGCAATCCTCAACCAGTGCGCTGCTGCTTCTCTTGCTACCGCTGCTAATGTTCTTTCTGATGGTCCTATTTTTGTCTTTTGAATCATTTGCATGCACTGTCATCTCTTGTACTTGGTTCCTGCCGGGCATTTGTGTCTTTGATTGCGTACATCTATCTTGTTTTCCCCATGTGATGTACTTGGTGCCTCTTCTTGTGGTCTGTTTTGCGTTGTCACAATATGTCTGTGGCTACTTTTTAGCCGTTTCTTGCGGTTGCTTTTGTCGCCTTGTCAGTTAGTGTCATATTTGTGGCTGTGGCTGTATCAAGCCCGTTGAGTCGCAGGCCACTAGCAGCTTGTGTATGTGCCTCCTCGTCAGATGTAGGCTCTTTCGCATGTGTCCCTAAGAAGAAGGAAGATGCTGTTCTTTAATAGGCCTACTGGCTCTTCTTCTCTCTGCTGTGTCTCTTTTGCTGTTTCGCACCAGGTGGCTCGTTTCTAAGGGCGAGCCCCCCCGTTGTTTTGGCATCATTTCGAAAAACGTGGCTCAGAGCAAACACCTGGAAACGGCGACTTTGCGTCTCCGCTGTTTCGCTCTAGACCTTGTCAATCTGCGCAGCGAAAGTTACTGCAACAGCAGCAGAATCCCCAGCAACACTGAGCTCGGGACTCCCCTCCAGGACGCGGAGAGGAGAGATTTTTGCTGCAATTCGCTATTCTACAATCTCAAGACACGGCGTGTAGAGGACTGGCTCGGGTCGGGCCTCAGGGACGTCCAGCTACGCATTCTTAGGGCGTCTTGCCCTGTACCAAGAGAGACCCTTGCAGAAGACCCTTTGAGGCTGCTACGCGGTATCCGGTTCGCTGCAACTCTCAGATTTAGTTTACAGAAGGACCTTGCGGTTGCAGCGGCAGATCCGCCAATCCACGAGTCGCTCAAGGCAAAGGTCGCCAAGGAAAGGGTTGGCATTGAGCTTAGGAAGATTTTCTCTATCGTGACAAAACGAAGCCAACAGGAGCTGGAGTCAGCAGCAGAAACAGAAGCTGCAACGACCGTAGCAGCAGAAATAAACGGACAGGAAAGAGGCGCTGGACTGGAGGCGCTGCTAGAGGGTCCGCTCAATGGCGCCGTGAGAGGTGTACTCCTCATGCAGCAACTGCAGGTTTGGGAGACAGTGACGTGCCTTCCTGAGGGCCACGAGGTATACAGACAGGAAAAGAGTCCCGAAGCCATGGAAAGCCATAGAGCTCGGGGGTCGCTGAAGGCTTTGGCTGAGCATCTCAAGGCATCGCAGAGCCCCGTGGACCCTGCAAAGGAGGCGTTCATGAATGGCCCTCTCGGGGCTTCCTGTCTTATTGCTCTGCGGCACATCCTTGCACGGCGTGTCTTGCTCGAGCAGCTTCAGCATAAGGACTTTGGAGCAGCATCGACAGAAATGACAAACCTGTATGAGTCCCTTTCGAAGGGCTTAGAGCTCAAAGAAGGAGGAGACAACCTCCGCCAACTGCTGTTTGCTGCTGTGCTGCATCCGGTCAGGGACTTTGTGGCTGTTTCTCCCAAGGTGACTCGCGCGCGGCCCCTAGCTGGAGACGTCGTTTCCTCCGCCTGGAAGTTACCTAATGCAGATGCTGCAGCAACAGAAGGCCTCATCAGCCACTCAGCCCTACTTCGCGTGGCAGCTGATGAAGAGGCAACCATGCGCCAGAAAGAACGCCAGCAGCATGAGCAGCAGGAACCGCAACAGCAACAGAGAGTACGGTTGGGCCTTCTAGTGCGCCAAGTTGGAGCTACTTGGCGCGAGGCCATTGCACTTGCTGCAGCAGAGGCACTGGGCTCCCTCATTCGCAAAGACACAGCAGCAGCGATTTCCGCTGCTGGCGCAGCTGTCACGGGAGGAGATACGTGCACAAGCTCAGATGCAGAAGTGGCAACGGGAAAGGAGACAGAAGCGCATCACGAGCTACACAGGAAGCGAGCATGCGGAGTGGAGAGCTCCCACGAGCACAAAAAGTTGTGTGGGCAGGAGGGCCACGCAGGACATCTTTGTTCAGAAGCAGCAGCAGCGCAGACAACACATGAAGACACGGCTCCTGAGGTTTGCTTGACAACCCTTGACTGCCTGCTAGTGGCGAGAGAGGAGGCAGCAAAAGAAACAGTGCGCCGCCTGGTTCACCTGAAACAGACTATTGAGGCGCTGGGCCTGCAAGATGCGTGGCAGCTGCAGCCACTGTGCAATGGAAAACAGGTACGCCATGGTGCCGCTGCATTTCTATTTCCAGGCATTTCTTGCTAGTCCTCATCTAGCCCTGCAACGTATGCTGTTTTGAAACGGACTACGGAACCATATGAAGAGCAGCCTTTTGAGCTTAAGAGAATATAATGGCAATTGAATTCAAGGCGAGGGGTTTCTACTATTCAAACAGTTATGGTTGCTGTTCTCCTTTCTGCTTATGCTATCTCGCACAGGTAGCCCATGCTCTTCCTGGCGCATCAGGTCGCGAGCTGGGGGCTGTCATGGATGAGCAAGTGAGCTTGGCTAATAATACCCAAAATAGGCCTTGAAGTGTAGGAAACCTCTGTCGACTTCCAAAAAGTTTGCGAATAGGGCTGCTCGATTCCTTCACAAGTGTACTCATCAAGCAGAGTACCATACTGGGCAGTGATGCAACAACTGTTTTTTTTCCGAGATGCCTCAGGGTTCTGTGAAGCTTAGATGTTAGTCATTTACGGGGTAAGTAAGATGTCAGGATTAAGGGTGTCTGGGTGTGGTTGTTGTGTTGCGTGTTGCAGCGCCTTTGGCAGCTGGCCAACCCCGGCAAGTCTGCAGAGCAGTGTCTGGAATACCTGCAAGAAAAATTCCCGCAGTTCCGAGAGAAGGTGCAGAGCAAGAGTGTTGTGGCGTAGCCTGTCGTTTGTATACCCCGGCCTTCCAGAGAGTTAATTGCCTGAGGATTCTCTTTTGTTTGACTGGATGGCCTCCGTTCCCTTTCTTGTCTCAAATGCGTGTTTGAGGCATTTAGAAGACTTCAGGGGTTCTGAGGGAGTCCTTTAAAGGCCCACAGAAGCAGATGCTCCTTGGGACCTCTGAAGGGCATGTGCTTGAGTATGTTTGCGAGGTAAAGGAGACACTTTTTGTGCCTTCTCGAGGCTCATCTCAGTGTAGTAGACTTCAAGCTAATGGGCAGCTGGTGGAATATTCATCAATGCGACGCCGCAAACGTTTCCCTGAATTTTTAGAGAGGTTTTGGCTGTCTTTGAACTGCTGCGACCTAGTCGCATATTGATGTCTTACAATGTGGAAGCACAAAGACAATGATAGGGCACTGTGGATAGTTCTTAACGCGAGCCCCAAGAAGCAGGGGGGCTGAGGTTAGGCGTTACGCTTTACGGCAACTTCCGGCCCCAAAAGCAACAGCTACTCACATCTTCAGCAGTTTAGTGGCTGAGCGAGAATTAATCGAGGGCCGAAAACACACCACAAGTGAGGGGTGCCAAGATTGAGGGGCGCAAGTACAGCGTCTAGGGGTCTAGTGTGGGTTTAAGCTAGGCCGTAGGTAACACGGAAAACCTTGTGGTGTAACAGAGCTGGTGGATACAGCCTACAGGCACTTCGTAGGCAGGCGGCCCCGCTACGTCGCCGCAACGTTGCACGTGCTCCGATGACTAAGAGGCAAGAGCGACTCAAGCGACGGTCTGCGTAGAATTTTAGTGCGCAGACGTAAGGCCTAGCCTGCAATTTGGTGTTAGGACCGAGCTCGTCTGGCATTGGTGTTAGCAGCGTGATCATGCTCTTACATGTAATCTGTTTTTTCTGGACCTGCTGCATTCGCCTGAGTCACCTTTTGGGGCAGGATTCAGCTTTTCCACTCTATTCTGCTTGAAAACAAGTGCCGGCGCCCCTAGTAGTGGCCAGTCTAGGCGTTTACTATTTAGCTCTCGCACCCAAGGCTTGTCGGCTGTAGAACAACGGGCCTGAGGCCCGCTGGCAGTGGACCACTGATTACCAAGGGAGCCCTACGGTACAAAAAGGCCACCTGCTGGTACCTCCTACCTCTGATACCTGTTAAACACTACCAAATTTTGTGAACGAGCTGCTGACCACTATTGAGAGCACCTGCTCCAGAACTCAAGGCACTAAGATTATTGAAAATCACGAGGGGCTTCCTCCACGCCTTTTATGTATTTAGTCTAAATACTAATGACTGCTCTTACTTCACATGCACCGTGCAACACTACCCTTTGTACTTGAAAGAAATTGGGATTCTCACGCGACTGCGCAAGGGCCGAGCCAGTATAGTAACACGGGGTCTTTGTCTGGGGGGAGCGACAGAGCAGCGGACAGTATACTTCCTCACCACAAAATTGATCTTTAAGGTTATCCTTGAATTTGCAGTTTACGGATTTTGACTCAAAGGATCCCCGTTGATGTCGCTCACAAACACAAGGGCCTCTCGATGCAATTAGGGCCCACACTGTTTAACCGATGGATCTACCCACGGATGTGCTCACCGTGTGGATCCCTTATTAGATTTCAGAAATTCTGGGATTCCAAGCTCCTAGACCTACGCAAGTAGAAGGTGGTCCTCATGGTGCTGCCCAGCCGATGGGGGGCTTCGTGGCCCTTCCGAGGTATCACTCTTTCGCCGGTAACTCAGGACTTCCGGGATCTTGTGAGCGTGAGAAGCTTTCAGATTCTTCATGCAAGGGGGAAGGGCACAGGAACTCGTCGAGGGGCTCGTTCTTCAGAGTCCAGCGGCGCTTCGGTCGGCAGTGCAGTGGACCCCAAAAGACGGGATAGTTGGACCTTTAATTCGGCAAGACGCTCTGCTGGCGCTGACTACAATGAGAGAGCTTCAGGAACTGGCAGGCATGCCCAGGCGCACGCTCGATTTCCCCGGCCTGACCTCGATGAAGCAGCGCTTAAAGCGGAACAGCAGAAGGCACAGGCGGCAGCGAACTGGCAGGTTATTACAACTCAGGAAATTGGACCAGGGGGCCCCATGTGCACGCGACGAATATGGCACTCATCTTCGGTAGCTAACCTTGGGATGCAGGATCATGAGTCTGCTGGTGAGCCATATGGTGCAGCGGCTTCCTGCACTTCTCCAGGGGAGCAGCTGGAGAGAATAAGGGAGCAAAGAAAGGCAGAGGCTCCCCCGCCACTGTGCATATATGATACCCTAATGGAAAACCAACCCGAGAGTCAGCGTGGCAACAGCGGATGGGAAAGGAGAAGCAGCTCTCCAGCGGATCCTGCGGCAATCCCAGCTTTCTTTACGGAAGGCCCCACTGATTGGAGGCTTGAAGTGAATGAGGATTTCGATGCTGACTGGGCGTGGCTATCAGGAGGACCCTGGGCAAGAGATTCAGCGGGTCCTTTGGGAGGTCTATCGGAGAGAATGGAAGACACGCGCATAAAGGTCTATGTGCCCGGTGTAGACCTGCCTAAGCCGATAGCCCTCCTCAACCGCCACCAGCTGCTTCAGACTCTACGAAAGCCTATAGAGGCTCTTGGTCCTCCCGGGCAGGAAGAAAATGGCCAGCAGGGCCCTCAGCATGGCCGCCTAACCCCAGCTGCGCCCGAAACAGACAGTAGCAAGATTCCCGGAGAAGCTACGGCGATGCCTGCCCTTCCACCTGAGGCTTATGAAGCCCTTGTAGAAAGAGCCAAGAGCATCCTGCCCTCGTTGAGTCGGCCACAGCTGCTCGAGTTGCTTGAGCTGCTGCAGCAGCACGCTCATACACTTCAGCAGCAGCGGCGCTCCCACTTGCTGGAGGCGCGCAAGTTTTGGCTTCAGGCTACGGCAGTTGCACCACTACAACAGCCGCAGCAACGTGAACTTGTTGTCGAAGGAGCAAAAAGAGCAGAAGCAGCAGCAGCTGCTGCAGCTAGAGGCATAAAGTCGATATACCAGCAGCAGCTTTTCGACCTCATATTCGATGCGATGCTTCCCCATTTGCCTGTAAGCTGCAGATTTAAGACAGCTAAGCGTCCAAGTGGCTCCTAGATTGCAACAATGCAGTATGGAGTCCTGTACCAGCCACGGTACTTTGTAGTGGTGCTCTTCTTTCAAAGAAGGTTCAAGGTCTGAAAGTCATTTCTGTATATTCGCCCTAACGGGGGTTTCAAGCGGCGTAAGGATAGCTTTAGAAATAATGCACATCCACAAAACACAAATGGATGAAAGTGTCTGTTTGTTCGTATGTTTGTTCGTATGACCAGCACATGCCACTGAAGGAGCTTGGAGACCTTGCGCAAGCTTTCGCCTCCTGTGCCCCTACGTGAGTGCTCATGGCCAAGCTAAGGGGGTGTGTTTGGGTATGTGGAGAGGGCTTCAGGGGACACACTAGACATTGAGCTTCACGGATAGAGATCAAGGCTAGGGGGAAATCTTTGCACAAGAAGGATCACCAGAGGCTCCGGAGACAACCCCTAGTGGAACACGCAACGATGGGTTCACCATAGGTGGCGATGACTTGCAGTTGTGTTTTGACCATCACAATGTGTGTAGCTCACAAGGCAAGCTGCTGTTCTCGGCGTTGTGGGTCCCTTCATGAGCTCAGGAAGGGCTTGGGCATGCTGCAGGTAATCGCGTTGCATGCAGTCGATAGAGCCTGCTCAGCCCGTCTGGGAATGCTGAGCGGATCAAAAAGTCGAGCTTCTGGAATAGAGGACGTCCAGGGCAGTGGCCAAGCACAAGGAATGCTAGCAGTACTGCGGCCGCTAGCTTTAGGCGTCCAGAGGCAGTGCGCCGTGGCGGCCCCACAGCGGCACGACAAGACTCAAGGATTTTTTGAAGAAGACCTGCCGGCAGCTTCAAGAACTGAAGGCACCCTGGCTGAGGCAGGAGACAGTCTTCCGGAGACTGGAGGGGGGCTTGGGTTTGCGAGCCGGCGGCTGCTGGAAGTCTTCCACGGCGACGTTGAAGCGCTTGCGGTAGGCCTTGTTGCCCAGTAAAGAACCCGAGGCCCTAGACTTCATGAACGCAGTGCACTGGGCATGGAGTCTTTGGCCCTGGCTTAGTATCGTTTGCAGTATTGTCGAGACTCCCTTTTGGTATTTTCACGTCTGAGAGGTTTCTAGTGCTCTGGCGTGTGCTGTTGCTTGCGCTGCTGCAGCTGCAGCTGCAGCCACTTTCAAGAGGTCATCTGTTGCAATTGCTGGTTTGCTGTTTGTTCGTTGGCTCTGGATCGTCAGCGGCACCGCTGGCAGTAGCCAGCCAGTGCATGGAATTGCTGTTAAGAGGCCCCTCAGGAGGTCCTGCGGCAGCAGGGATCCTACATCGCCAAAGTAGCCCCTGTAACCTCCAAGAAGCTCTTTGGATGCTCATCAGCTGCGCTTACCGAGAAAGCCGGGAAAGCCTTCCTAATTGGCTGCTCCCTGTTCTTAAGGGCATGCTGAGGCCATCATCTACAGCTGAGCTGAGCTCAAGCTCGCAGCTTGGTAGCTTTACTTGTGCGGATTTAGGCACTGGAGTGCCTTCAGAGGTTGTTCGTTGTTCTCAACCACTTACTCCCCCAGACAGCTCCTTTAAAACAATCGTGGCCGAAGACCAGCTGCAGTGCCTCCTTGCGGTCATGGAGGGATATCTGTCACCAGAAGGAGCGCCTGAAGCTCTCTTTGAAGCGTTGTCGCACACAAAGCAGGAGCCCCCCGCAGCGGCAGCAAGCGCCGCGGAGCAAAGCCTTCTCTCAGAAGGGACTCGTGTCGCAAGGAGATTTGAGGATTGGACTATCCAACTGAAGCTTTGCGATTGTCAGGGGGCCTCTACAGACTTACAGGCAGGCCAATTTGGTTACTTAGATGAAGGCGAAAACCCCAAGAGCCGATTGCATCCAGCAGAGATAAGCGCAGCAGGATTCTTTGCTGCAGTCGAGGCTCTTGCATGGGCCGCCTGTCGCTTTCTCCGTCAACAGCCGCAACAGCAGCAAGAACAGCAAGGGCAATGCATGCACAAGAGGATCGAGAGGATCCAAGGACTACTTTTTGCACTTAATGCACAGTTGGTGGACGCAGCAAGGCAACCGCTGATTTCCGCTTCTGCCCTAGTTCAAGGGGTCCATGCCCTGGCAGATGCAGGTGAACACTTGGTGAAGATAGCTGCAGGGGGCCCCAGTGCTCAACAGATTCTGTCGCGTGAAATATCTGTTGGTCTGCTGGCGGCAGGGGGCCCTCTGTTTATGGCGTCGAGTCGGTCGTTGCAGTGGGAATATCTCTCGATTCGTTCTTTAGAAGCTCTTCTAGAGGCATCTTGCTGCTGCATTGTCCGTTTAGTCGGAGCGTTTGAAGCATTCTCTCTGGCAGGTGACCTCGAGCAGCGGCAGCACGCCCACCATTTAGAAGCAGCAGCTGCCACTGCACTTGTCACCGGTGCAGCAGAATGCCTGCGAAAAACCCGCGAGAAGCTGAAAGCCCAGAACTCGTCTCAAACACAGGTTCGTCTCCAGGCCCAAAAGTGCCGCAGCGAAGCTCCATCAGCTGGCAATTGTTCCTGGAATTTTTTGCCTGGGAGATGCTTGTCCTACCCGCATAAGCTATCCAGGCTGTTACAGGCGCTTTGCACTGATCAATATTTACCACTTCGTGCCCTTAGTTCGATTCCTTTTGTTGGCTATTGCTGGCTTTGTGACGAAGGCGGATTGCTACGGTGCCCTTTCCCTGAGAGCACAGGGGAAGTGGCTACGGGCCCTAGGGGCTCTACTGCGAAGTAAGAAGGAGGGGAATTTTTCGGCAGAATATCCGAGCGAAGGGCGAGATGGCAGGAGCTGAGAAGATTTTGCCTCACTGTACGGAGCCCTGTAGGGATTTGAAAGGCTGCCTTGCCCCGTTTGTGTGCTACTGCAGGAGCTCTCGAAGAACAAACAGAAGGGCAGCCGGGCTTTTCACGAGTTGGACTGAATGTGAGTCAAATTTGTTTAAAAGGGACTGTCTTCGAGTCGCGAGAAGCACTGCGGCGGCTCAATACAACGGAGAGTGTAGCCCAGCAAGCCACAGTTATGTTCTATCCAGCAAGCCATAGCTACATCACATATACGGAACCGCGCAATATACGCAAAAAAGTGGTGGCAATGCAGTGCCACAGCAGCTGGTGTGCTGCCCTTCTGTTCTCTCTACGCGGCCGGTGTGCCTTTGCTTTTGCTGCTGCTGCAGATTTCTGAGGAAGCCGCAGAGGCAGCAATGTGTTTGGGTAAGTGGCCCCTGTAAACTGCTATTTCCAGTTGCGCCCCACTGGTGCTTGTTTTGACCCTTGAATCTTGAATTGCGGCAACGCGCTTCAGAAAGGCCGCATAAATATCTGCAGTCGCTTTGGTAAGCGTTTTTCTTTTCTGTGCGCTGCAGCCGCGTCGTGGGACTCCCTTAAAGCATCTAAAAAGATGCTGATTGCAGAAGCCCAAGGACCTGAGGACCTTGTAAATGTGTTGCATGGATTTCTGTCGTGCGCGGAGCCGCTAATCCACAAGAAAGTCGCAACTCCGAGGGCCGATGCAGCAGCAGCAAATAAAGTGGTAATAGCACAAGGCCTCGATCATATGTTAGACCAACTCTGTCGCTTGAGCTGGACGGAGTCGGACTTTGGAGTAGCAGAGCTGGCTCGGCAGCTGCTCCAGCTGCAGCACCATGCGAAGTCGACGGCTCCTCAGGGGGTTTTACATGAAATCATCAGAAGAGCGAACACAAAAAAACTGGGGCCTGCGCAGAATCTAGGTACTGGCCGCTGACCCTGTGATTTCCCAAAAACGTCGCGGAGACCCAAACCTTCCTTTTTGCGCGCATTTTGTATTTAGGAGCCTTGAGGGTCCTTGAATCCACATACATGCAGTGCGGAAGGCAAGATGCGGCGCAGTTCTACTTTTTGGTAGATACTTTCTTTTTTATGGGGTGGAATGCAATGCGTGCCCCCTTCCCAGTGTAAGGATTTGCCTTGATGTGTCTATACAGCTCCATTGTGAGGGTTCCAACTGCCCTTTTGTCCCAGCCGTGCACTGTGAGCAAGAGCCCTGCGCACATACCATGAGATTCCATAGCAATGTACTGCCTCATTCATATCCTAAAAGTGATACTGCCAGCATTCTACTTCTGAAGAGAGCAGTAAAAGTGATGCTAGGATGGTGGGCGCATTGTCCTACAGCAAATAGTCCAGCTCTAGCATTACGCGCCACGATTTGAGATGGGCTTACCTCTTTTGTCAACAAAAATTCTAGCCTTCGTTGCATACTGCTCCATCAAACGCCGCAGCGCAAGCGGTTTTACACCAACCCCAAGCCTGCACAAACCGCGAAGCCGTACATACTTCCAGTAACAACGCAGCAACCGAGCTGCCAGCAACTGATGCTGAGCACTCTTGCACAGAAGAGCAGCCCCAAATGTTAAGTGCTCCGCATTCACCTTATCATAAGGTCCGGCCATTCTGGGTCAAAATAGGCTTTCACCCCTCTTCCGTCAAGCACCAGCTGCGTTGCAACTCCTCTTTCTCGCTGCTGCAGCATGGATACAATAGCAGCAGCAGCGGGCTCCCCCACCTCTCGCGCAGTGGCGGAAAAAAAAACGAGACATTTTTCGGGCCTATTGGGCACATGGTGGTGGTACATAGACACCCCCGGGCGCCCCAGTGGCCTGCACACAAATCTCAGCTCTGGCGCACAGCCCAAGCGTTAGTGGCTTCCCCAGCATTTTGGAAAACCTGCAGCAGCTGCAGCAGTCGCTGCTTGTGAAGGCTATCTCAACTTTCCTTCTTCTGAGAACAGCTCTGAGGGGTAACGCACCTTCGTAGGGCTCCCTCAGCGGCAAGCACTGCAACCGTTTCAGGCATCTTGAGCGTCATACTTCCTTTCTTCGGTATCTCCTCCGTATCCAGCCTCTGAAGCCGAACATTACTCTGTGCTTCTAGATCGGCCTCTCCCCTGTAGAAAGCCCCGTACCCATAGCTCCCACTCACACCAAAGAAGCGGCGCTGGCCTTGCAACCCCGTCAGATACCCAGGGGGGCAAATTCGGCGGGACGAAACCCTATGAAGAGGCAGCTGCTCAGAACCATTTGGACCCGCACTCAACCCAACAGGCACTACAGCCGCTGTAGCTCTTGAACCAGCCTGAAGGGGACCACACTGGGAACTGGCGAGGCGAGGGAAAGCGCCACAAGAGCCCCTCACAGAAGCCATAAGCGGTCTCCAGTGGAAGTGCGCAGTGCAAAAAGACCACTGCATTTTCTTGAGTAGAGCTCAAAGCGCTTGGAGCCAAGGAGGGCCTTCAGGCGGGCCCCTCTGGGGGGGGCCCCTAGAAGCTCGGCACTTAGGTGGAACACTAATAAGCCTTGCTGGTCCTCATAAATTTTATTGAAGCTAGAATACGTCGCGTGAAGGGCTTAGCATTTCTCTCTATACATATGGCGTTTGCCTGTCACTCAAGCATGCGGTTCTGTAATGTAGCCAGTCTCTGGCAGCCCCAAACGTTGATCACAGCCGTCTAATCTTAAAATTGAAAGAAATAAAAATTATAATTTGTTGTTCGCGTATATTTTATATGTGCTATCAATAAGTTTAAGGCGATATGCAGGAAGGCGTTTTGCAGAACTACCCTGCTGGCGGTGCTACGCATTTGCTGTATAAGCATCTGCAGTTATTACTACGTCAGATTATTGATGGTGAGGGGTAATATGGATGTGCCCCCTATTCACATAAACAGCTTCTCGCTGTTTTGGGTGACCAAGTAAGTTTTCAAGGCCTTTTCAAGCCATGCCACCGCCTATTCACCCCAGGGTAAGAAAGTGCTTGGCCTGTGATGCACTGCTGGGCCCTACACTGAAGCACGAACGTCTCCAGGAGAAGAGACTATAACAGTTTCAAGACGACTCAACTATGTAGGTGTAGTTGCCTCCTCATGATGAAGAGCTCTGTGGATGTTTTGTCTACCCGGTATCTACTACAAAGCCAGGGCTTGTGGCTGGCAGAGACCTTCTGGCAGGCAAAAGCACAACGAATCTTGCCAAATCTGTCAAGGCGACGAGTATTTGGCATTTGTTGGAAAAACACAGAATTTCCATCTCTCCCACACGAGTAGCTTGCTTTTGCCCTTGTTCGAGACTAACTGAATCTTTTCGTGGTGCGGCGTAGCTGGCCAGTTTAGCGCTACAGCTGGGAGCAGGCGGAGTTTCGCTAAAACTGTATAGGGCAAAAGATGTTAGTGATCTATTGGATGTTTAGGCTAACGGCGGATGCAGCCAATGAAACTGGAACGGCGGGACTTACGAGTGCCTAAGCTACACCAACATGTGTATGTATGCCTTAAATAGATATCTAAATGTTTGAGAGGTTAGCACCTTATTCTGCCTGGACTATAGGCAGAAGGGAATGGAATTAGGTTTGCAGTGGATGAGTGAGAAATTCCTAGGAGGCTTTGGAATGTCTGTTTCTTCGAGTAGTGCGCGCCAGCCAATGCTTTTTTTGTGGGTCATGGAGTGCTGCGCTATTGGCCCAGCTTTGCACTAAGCGTGAAACACTGTATGAAGTGCGCGCGGACAAGGTTCGTGACCGCTGTCATAGGCACCCTCTCCGGCTAGTAGAACATGGGTACGATGTTTGTGTCTTCAGTGTTTAGGAGAGTTGAAATCATTAAAGTTAACGCTTATCGTCGAGGCGGAGAGCTTGAGTTTCTTGAACGCGCGTTCCTGATCGAAACATATGATGCCGTCTTTCTCCTATTTTGTGCCCTTGTAAGTTGCGAATGATAATTACGAGAAATTGCTACCTTCAGTAACGACGTCCATGGGTTGCACACTTGATCACGGTTATCACGCACAGGAGCGCGCTTGGAGCTTTATGTCTCGATATGTTCTTCAACTAAATATGCGCTCTAAAATGCAGCATACATGACACAGAGGAAATACGATTTGCAGGGTGCGCGTCTACAGCGGTCTCGAAGTACTTTTACGAATTTGAGGGCAATTTTAGTGTGTGCAAATATATGAACGAATACGTATACGTATTAATGTAGCTTATAATTTGGCATAATTTTCAAGGGAGTCTTTTGTGAAATTTATCTGGGATTCGGTATGCACAGGGCTACAGACCCAGCATTTAGCACAATGCGTCAGTATAGCCTGCGCATCGCAGGGACCGCAGTTAATTCCCCAGTTCTGCATCCATGGTACCAGGTCATACACAATTTTCGTTTTCATTCTATCCTGGGCTTCAGGGTGATTTCTCTTTTTAATGTAATTCGTATTTTTAGTTGTTATTCCAAACCAATTTGGCTGGGGCAAAGCGCTTCAGCTGTGTAGATCCTGTTCCAGAGCAAGAATGCATCAAAATATTTCCCACGGACGCCGTCGCTGTTCTCCTTCGCTTTCTGCTCCAAAACCATGTCCTGAAAATGCTTTCGTCTAAAGCACTTGAACTGCAGTTCAAGCATGACTTCAGCTGTGTCAGTTTATTCCACGAGAGTTCATGAGTAATTTAAACTGCCAGTTGAGGACGCGCGAAGCAGACGTTGTGTTTCCAACAAGCAGCAATAGAAGGCGCGTAATTTTATGTGGCGTCACAAGAGCTCAATTGTATTCCATGCTTCATGAGGGTCGGGTGGATAATAGACACTTTCTAGTGCTACAGCCAGGCGAACCTGCTCAGAGGCTTTTATACTAAATGAGAAATGCCAAAAAAATCGCCAAGACATGATGAATACTTTGCACACTGGCTCTTTCACGTTATCTCTGCATATTGAATTAGGTCATGCATATCGTGGCGTCTGGTACTTGGCAAGCAAAGACCGCCATTGAGGTATGAGAGTTGTCTGCCAGCAAGTTACATCATTAGCCTTTGCAGTGGGCTTCTTGCCTTAACTTTCAGGGGATGCTTGGCTCTGAAGAGCTAGCTACATTTACGTTCTGCTGTTCCAATTGCTGTACTTTATCACAATCTGGAAGCTAACCAACACAGCCTACTGCCACGTTGTCACAGTGCTTACTGTAGCATGAAACGACGCGGCAAGCCTACTTTATTCCGGCAGGCTTCTCCCGCTTGTTCGCTTTTGCTAATTCTTATCAAAGGACAAGTGAAGTCTGTGCCTTTAAGCTGCGTTCTTGCAATCAAAGGGTCCTCTGAAACACCGTGTCAGCGTCCATAGATTCCTTGATTCTGCAAGAGTGCCACGTTCACCGTATCTTCCATCAAATTTGTAAAGCTGAGCACTTTTCAAATGTGATTCAAAGCACCGCATATGTGGCGAGCATTTGACCTTGCAGTATTAACAGTCATTTCAACGCTTAGTTGTGAGCATTCATTTTTTACATAGTGCAGTGAGGTCTCCAGTCGTCTGGCCAGTTGGAAGACCCTTTGCGGGCAATACTGGGTTGTCCAACCCACCAAAGCCTCCAAATCCAGAGAAAGTACTGCATTTTCAAGCTACAATGAGACAAAGGCGAGCAATGTCTCACAGACAGTCAGCATACGCTAGAAGCTCGTTGTGCCTTTCTCTTTAGTGGTCTCTTTTCACACAGCCGCACCAGTAATCCCAAAATTTGATCAGTCTCAAATCGGCTGAACCGGCGTCGTACAGGATGCCAAACCCACAAAAGGGCTGCATTATGAAACTTCAGAATAAAGCTTCCTAGTTTCCCTGGGTTTAAGATTTGGGCACATGCGAAAATGGGCAAGGACAGCGCTGGTCCGTAGGGAGACAAACACTCAATTTGCAGCTTTTCCGCTGAACTGAAGCGGAAAACAAGCAGCGGTAGCCCTAATGGCAGCCGAAGCTCATGTTATCACATTGTTTCATGCTACACGCGGAGTGTAGTTCTCTACGAAGCTTCTGCCACAGGCTTCAAAAGCATGAATTCCAGCTCGCTGTGAAGCATTTATTTTCATTGTGCAGCCACGCGCCATCTACAGAGGAGACTGCGCTTTTGCAACGGAACTCTCTGATGTCGTTTTTCTTGTTTAAGCTGCAAGAGTGGTGCACGCGCGTGAATGCAAAGAGCAGAATGATATATTTGCCTCTATGCGAGGCAGTGGCCATGAACAGTGCAAGTCAAAATCGATAAATTTCACGAAGAAACCTTGCGAAGCCGTTCCCCTTCAGGTGGCACTGACGCTTTCCTCTTCCTACCTGCGTTTACACCTCGTTTTAGAGTGGTATCGTCCAGCTGAACAAACTGAAGAGCACTAAATTCCTGACTCCACCCGCTTGCAGAAAGGATGAAAGAAGCGGCATGTTGCGCAAAACCCACTAAGCAAAGGACGCGGTTCTCCCAAGCAAGCTCTTCTCTGCTTTTCGATCCGCTTTCTCTTTGAACTTCGAGCTTCAGAAGAAGTATTGGAAGATCTAAATGCTCTCAGTGTGAGCAGGCGCGGGACGTACTGCAGAATAGTAGCACGTTGAGAAATGATTACAAATTTTGGCGGGGAAGGCACAGATTCAATTCCCCAGATCGTGCCATGAATGCTATTTGTTTATTTGCCACTACAGCGTGAAGTACTTCCGCTCTCGCCAGCAAGTGAGCTAATGATATGCAAACATATGCAGAAAGGCTTGCCTGTCATGCGCAGCACGATCTGTCCTTGCACAGGGTCTCCAGAAGAAGAGGTGATCTCAAATGTATGCGCCCTTTCACTCAGTGCTGTACATGCAGCAACTCAGGACAAGCATGACATTCCGAAGATACAAAATGAGCTTACGCCGGTCGCCATGCATCACGGTGAGCTATGCACTCGGCAAAATGGAGGGATTGAATGAATGAGGGAAAACTAATGCTAGGAAACAGTCAAAAGCAGCTCGCCCTACATTGATTGCTTGGTTGCCCGGTGGTTGCATCAAGAACACAGGATTCCAATTTCTGTGCAAATTCTTTTAAGGCCTGGGGAAGGCACAACATAAGTGCCGAACCGTTGAGATTGGGAATACAAGAAGCTGAGGAAAAGGAGGAAATAGAAACAGCGCAATGACAGAGGTGCCGATGTCATTTACGTCGTGATGTTCCACTGAAAGGAACGTACCGGCAAGCTCGGCCAGCCCTTTTTTGAACGCTGCACAAAGAAACATGCAAGCAAACATGAGGAGCCACTAATGGAACATGCCGCTCCACATTTTAGTGAGGTCTCTAGGCAGTGGGAAACCTGTATACGGTCATCTCACCTCTTCGGCAACGGCAAAACTAAAAAGGGAGCCCTGCATTACTGTTTTGAATTGTTCTGAGGTATCACATTGCAAAACA